CGAAGGAAGATGTACAAAAGTATCAAGCGCAGTACATAGAGGCGCTGAGGAGTCTATTCGACAGCTACAAGGGCGTGTACGCTGTTGATCCCAACGCCACCCTGGAGATTTTTTAAGCTGTAAGCAGCACGACTGCCATACCGCATCTTTGCATTTCCCAAAGCGTGTTGTTCCTTTGCTTGACATGAATGCAAAGAACTACTGCTTACATGTACAGTACTATTTTATGATTCCGTCGTTGGTATCATCGTGGCTCGAATTGCAGTTGGCCGTTCACAAGGTTCATCGTTTGAGCTTGAATCCCCAGTCCTTAAAGATCGTGAGGCACTGAAGGCCAACGCCTTTGTCTAAGATACCTACTGTAGTACGTTTTTATTTATCTTTTTCATTCTCTATCTCACTGTTCTACCTCTTCAAAGTCGTCCTCTACAAACAGTGGAACCTCATCCATCATTCTCGACTTGAAAGGCTTGATCGATCGCTTGACTAGGGCCGTTCCCGTGTTTGTTGGCTCGAGTGTTTTCTTTTTTGCTGCTGCGGTGGCGTTTTTGACAGGGGTCTTCAGTTGTGCAATTTTTGAAGCCGGAACATGTGCTCTGACGACGATCTCACTAGATGCCGTCATCGTTGGTGTGTGGCCGCCATCCCGAACGACCCTGAGAGGAAACACTTCCGATTTCAGCTCTAGACTGCGACTCCGAGTCGCTGGCATCAGAGCCACCGTCACTTGCAGCGCGTGCGGGCTTCCGGGCTCGAATTTTGCGCTTGCGTCTGATTGAGGGATCTAGCACTAAGCTTTACTGAAGACAAATCTTTCCAATAGTATGCTTTTTAATATCCATATTTCTTCAATAAGTTTCCGTTAAACTAATTATTTATAATTGATAATCTGATATTTTTTGGGTTTTATTTTATGCTATCTCTTATAAATTGCCTTTCTTTTTGGCATCAAATATTTTCCTTTAATTTAATACCATAGGTAATAGTATTATATATTTTTTTGCAATAAGAAGTACCAAATTCAGCGATGAGCGACGAGTATTCTCAACAGAGCAAATCAGTAGTTTAACAGAATGGTTGTTGTTTTAAGGAGCAGATACCATTACATGTGTCAGAGCAGGTATTAGGTACTAGAGCTGCTACTGGTAGTGCGTTGAAGTACGATCATAGAGCGGAGTCATTGCCGAGCACCCAGCAGCGTGGAAGTTTGGATTACATTATTACCCACCGCACTGAAGAGACACCGGAAGAAGAAGTTTTCGTGCAGTATAACTGCAGTGCGAAAGAGACAAGAGCAACGGCGCCTACAGAAAAATGAGCGTGAGCGAATGCTGTGCTATAAGAAACAAGACCGTGATGTTCTTCAATAAAGGAGTGAGTCGGTGGATCCCCGCACTCAGCGCAGACACTCTTCGTGGTCTATGGTCCTGAATTTCTACTACTACGTCAACGAGGACCCAACCACGTTGTTTATGTAAGGTCCATCTTCAAAATGACAAAACCTGGTGTGAGAGATAAAAGTTTTCGAGTAGCACCATATTTTGTCACAATAAGTAATTTTCGTCATGTTTCCTCGACGAAGCAGATACCGCTCCAACTACTTTAACCTTATTGGTCAGCCACTTCAACATCAAAGACGGCTACACATTTTTGATGGTCGAGGATGCAGGAGGAACACCAACGCGTACAAAAAAATAAGCTCTTGTTTGGATTCAGCGGCTTCTACACAGCGTTGAGTAATCCTATATACATGACAGCTACTACAACGACACGTAAGGCACGTATCTCGTGCAAGTTAGATCTCGGCGCATCGTCCGAGTGTGGTTGGTTGCAGCGAATGGCGATCCACAAGTGCAGATTCATCAGCTTCGGTAACCCAAGGGTCCGGGTATTTACGCGCGCAAGTGGCGGTAGGCGCCAGGCTTGGAGTATCCTCCGTAATCCTTGCCGGCAGAGTTTCCACCCACACCTGCGTTCAGTCCCGCACCAGCGCTAAGACCTGCACCAGCGTTGAGGCCCGCTCCAGCCTTGAGACCGGCACCGAAGTTGAGTCCCGCTCCAGCCTTGACTCCTGCACCTGCGTTGATTCCCGCTCCAGCGTTGAGACCGGCACCGGCATTCAGTCCCGCTCCAGCGTTGAGACCGGCACCGGCGTTGATTCCCGCACCAGTCTTGACTCCTGCACCTGCGTTGAGTCCCGCCCCAGCGTTGAGTCCCGCTCCAGCCTTGAGTCCCGCACCGGCGTTGAGTCCGGCACCGGCATTCAGTCCCGCTACAGCCTTGAGACCGGCACCGGCGTTGAGTCCGGCACCGGCATTCAGTCCCGCTCCAGCGTTGAGACCAGCACCAGTGTTTAAGCTAGCACCCGCATTGAGTCCGACGCCAGCTCTGCCGTAGCCTCTGGCACCCACACCTGCGCCAGCTTGGAGCCCCGCGGCGGCGTTGATACCCACCGCCGCGCCGCCGTACCCGTAACGCTTGCCATAGTCGTCGTTGCTGCGATAGCCATTCTGCTTGCCGTACGCCCCACGCGTGTCGTAGCTATCGAGCGAGTCATCACTGTCTTGTTGGCCATACCCGTCTCGCTTGCCGTACCCGTTGTTCTTGCCGTAGACGCTCCGATTGCCGTATGCGTCGCGCTTGTTGTTGCTTACACACGTAGTTGGTAGTTGCCGTCAGTTTTGGATATGAGGTGGCATCACATGGCCACCTCTCCACCACATCCCTCGGCTTATCTTAAGTTGGGTGGACGCTGGCCTCTTTCCTTCAGCCATTGCCCTTATTGACATTTATCCAATCAAATAGACTATTTGATTGCCTTTTAACCAATCATATTGCACAAACCGAGTATACAAACTCAAAGGTATGGCGCGTCGCAACACTCCCACTAAAGAAGCCAGCGTTGCCATAAACTTTCTTCTTATTGTCCGTCAGCTTTCTTCATATTGTCACCAAAGATC